ACTCTTTTTTTTTTTTTTTTTTTTAAAGATGACCAGTAAGGGGATCTTAACCCTTTGCTTGGTGTTGTCAGCACCACGCTCAGCCAGTGAGCAAACCGGCCATCCGTATATAGGATCCGAACCCGGGGCCTTGGTGTTATCAGCACCACACTCTCCCGAGTGAGCCACGGGCCGGCCCAGCTAACTACTTTCAAGTGTGAAAGTTTAAATTTTCAAATCTGAGCAATTTGTCTTTTTCTTCAACTCCTTTGAATGGTTCTCAGTCATACGAAAGGTAGTGTGCATGATTTGGAGTCTCTTGCCTAATAAAAACCTTTTACAGATAAAACTCACAAAATTTGGGCTCCAAAAGACCTGACCTTGGTCCTTAACTTGTTTAATTACTTACCTCTTGCTATCCGTGTCCCTCAGTGTTCACCTTATCTTGCTTAAGTTTATCACAGTTACTTGTGATTTGATAACATTCACCCTTGCCACTTTCAGCAGTACCTTCTCATTCTTACCTCCACCTGTCTCCAGCTACCTATTAACTGTCTTATTAGAATAGAGAGAATTGGGCCGGCCCGTGGCTCACTCGGGAGAGTGCGGTGCTGATAACACCCAGGCCCCGTGTTCAGATCCCATATAGGGATGGCCAGTTTGCTCACTGGGTGAGCATGGTGCTGACAACACCAAGTCAAGGGTTAGGATCACCTTACTGGTCATCTTTAAAAAACAAAATAGAGGGCCGGCCCGTGGCTCACTCGGTAGAGTGCGGTGCTGATAACACCAAGGCCACGGGTTCGGATCCTATATAGGGATGGCCGGTTTGCTCACTGGCTGAGCGTGGTGCTGACAACACCAAGCCAAGGGTTGAGATCCCCTTACCGGTCATCTTTAAAAAAAAAAAAAAAAAAAAAAGAATCATCCCATCATCCATGGCATGATTTGGATAGAAAAACACTGTGATAAAAATTAGATTTTTATATCTGGCCAACAACATAACTTTTCTTGACAACATTTTTAGATGACCATAATCTGTAAGTGTGGATCAGAATTATAGTGATGTCTCAACGCCAAAATGGTTTTCCTATAATTAAATTAAAATGCAGGTGCGCCTTGATGCACATAGATGTTTTTCTGAACAAAAGTATGTGTGAAGAACATGAATTCATTCATGCTTTAACCCACTAAGGGAGCTTTGTTATTAAAAGAAATACTGTGATAAATCCTTTAGCAAAGGAAAAATACCCTCAGTTTAAATCTTCAGCAAATCTCTTTTCATATATCTGTTTTGTTTAAAGTATATTTGTATGATGACAGTATCCAAGAGGAAGACAGGGCTTATACAGAACAGGAGGAATTATAGGTCAGCTATCTGTTCTGAGATTTGAGAGTGGGTAAATTTTCAATACATTTGATCCCTTGACTCCAGAGAGGTAGTCCTCTTGGCTCTTTCTAACATCCACCTCTTGCTTTTTATGTTAGATCGAGCGGTTGGAAGTAAGCAGCCTCGCCCAGACTTCCAGTGCAGTGGCCTCCAGCACTGATGGCAGCATCCACACAGACTCTGTGGATGGAACACCAGACCCTCAGCGTACAAAGGCTGCCATTACTCACCTGCAGCAGAAAATCCTGAAGCTCACAGAACAGATCAAGATTGCACAAACAGCCCGGGACGACAACGTTGCTGAGTACTTGAAGCTTGCCAACAGTGCAGATAAGCAGCAGGCAGCCCGCATCAAGCAGGTATTTGAGAAGAAGAACCAGAAATCTGCCCAGACCATCCTCCAGCTACAAAAGAAGCTTGAGCACTACCACAGGAAGCTCCGAGAGGTGGAGCAGAATGGGATCCCCCGGCAGCCAAAAGATGTCTTCAGGGACATGCACCAGGGTCTGAAGGATGTGGGAGCAAAGGTGACTGGCTTCAGTGAAGGTGTGGTGGATAGTGTCAAAGGTGGACTTTCCAGCTTCTCCCAAGCCACCCACTCAGCAGCAGGGGCTGTGGTCTCAAAGCCCAGAGAGATTGCCTCACTGATTCGGAACAAATTTGGCAGTGCAGACAATATCCCTAACCTGAAGGACTCTTTAGAGGAAGGCCAAGTGGATGATGGGGGGAAGGCTTTGGGGGTGATTTACAACTTTCAGTCAAGCCCAAAGTATGGTAGTGAGGAAGATTGTTCTAGTGCCACTTCAGGCTCAGTGGGAGCCAACAGCACCACTGGGGGTATCGCTGTAGGAGCATCCAGCTCCAAAACAAACACCCTGGACATGCAGAGCTCAGGATTTGATGCATTACTACATGAGATCCAAGTGTTCTACAGTGATTTGGTAATCAGGTATCATTATTCTTTTTGTGTCTGTACCTGCAAATCCATTTATTTATCCTATGATCTGTAGATATTATATACCAGGAGGAAGGCCAAGTGGATGATGGGGGGAAGCCTTTGGGGGTGATTTCCAACTTTCAGTCAAGCCCAAAGTATGGTAGTGAGGAAGATTGTTCTAGTGCCACTTCAGGCTCAGTGGGAGCCAACAGCACCACTGGGGGTATCGCTGTAGGAGCATCCAGCTCCAAAACAAACACCCTGGACATGCAGAGCTCAGGATTTGATGCATTACTACATGAGATCCAGGAGATTCGGGAAACCCAGGCAAGACTAGAGGAATCCTTTGAGACCCTCAAGGAACATTATCAAAGGGACTATTCCTTAATAATGCAGACCTTACAGGAGGAGCGATATAGGTAAGTTATATGGAATTAAAATCCTAAGCTATTTGTTTGAGGTTCTTCTCCCTTTGGATATAGGGAAGTGGCTTCAAAAGGTCTTTGTCTTTCTCTAGAGTGTCCAGAGCACTTTAGATATGTCATATGACATCAATATAAGTTCCTATTTCATAGAGAGCAAAATAGAGGGATAGGAGTTAAATGACTCCCAAGATCACACAGTGATGAAGCATTTTAGTTACAGGATGAACCATTACTATGACTTTCCAGTCTTCCATTCCAGTTTAGAACTTTAAAATGAAGCCCAAGCTTTCTAAGGCATTTCACATATTTATTTATTATCACGGAATCACTAAATTATTGCAACCTATAACTGTACTACGTGGAATTCAAAAGATCTATAATTCTCAGAACTCTGTGGAAATCAAAGATATATCCCAGCCAAAATGTAGTGAATGAACCTTATAGATATTTGGCCTTAAACATACTTATCTGGCAATTGATGTAGAATGATTAGACTGGAAATAAATCCAGATAAGCATGTCTGTTACCTTTTTTGTGGATTGACAGATATTTGAATGGGTGTGGACTTAAACATGAAGTGGTTTTACGGTAGCTAGAAAATTCTCAAAGGGTTAGATGCTTTGAGTCAATCTGTGCTAAAGGCAGAAGCTGGTCTCTTTTTTGTGTTTCATATTACAGTACATATTCATATTAGACCACTGTTAGTTCTCCAAATGTGTGTCCTTTCCCCTTGTTTCCTTCACATGCGGAGAGAAATAATATCCCCCATGGAGTACTCATTCAGATCCAAACTTTGTCAGCCATAGATAGGCCACCTCATGATGCAGGTTAAGAACCAGTCTTATGGGAGCCACAGATCATGTCAGGCCTTGAAGGACCTGGGTTCGGGTCCTGTCTCAGTTACTAACAAGAGGAAATCCTCAGAATTGTGACATATAGTTTAAATAATTTTTTTTTTTTTTTTTTTTTTTAAGATGACTGGTAAGGGGATCTTAACCCTTGACTTGGTGTTCCCCCCCCCACGCTTACCCAGTGAGCTAACCGGCCATCCCTATAAGGGATCCGAACCCGGGGCCTTGGTGTTGTCAGCACCGCACTCTCCCGAGTGAGCCACAGGCCGGCCCAAGTTTAAATAATTTTTATGTAGGGACCGGCTCATGGCTCACTCGAGAGAGTGTGGTGCTGACAGCACCAAGGCCACGAGTTCGGATTCCATATAGGGATGACCAGTTGCTCACTGGGTGAACGTGTTGCTGACAACACCAAGTCAAGGGTTAAGATCCCCTTGCTGGTCATCTTTTAAAAATAAATAAATAAATAAATAATTTTTATGTAAAGCATACAGCTCAGTGTCTCGTCCCATAGTGCTTGATTGATGTTAGGTAGCAGCTGCTGTTAACTGTTACCTCCCTCTGAACGTGAAGACCTGGGCAGTCCACAGCCAATTGCTCAAAAAACAAACAAAACTACCTAGTTGGACTCCTTTATTTTGAGTAGATAGCAAAGTATTCCAGTTTTTAAATTCCTCCAGAGCTTAAAATTCATATAAGTCTTGTTACATCTTTGAGTCAGATGTAGGCCAATGTGAGAAAATCAGATAGAAAAAACAGGTCCCCCAAAGCCCACCTTTGTATACATTTAAAATATAAGTCAGAGGAGCTGGCTGGTGAACTCAGTTGGTTAGAGCATGGTGCTGATAACACCAAGGTCCCGGGTTGGATCCCTGTCCCAGCCAGCCACCAAAAAAAATAAGTAAGTCAGAAAGAGGACAGGACTTTAGCTACTCATCATCACCTCATCAGATGGATCAAGTCCAAGCCACTTAGGAGGGAATGAGCAGTGCATTTTTTTCATTGAATTTTGGGTTCTCTGTAATAGGTAAATGACTAGTTTTATGGAATGAGGAGGAAATAAATAAAACTTTAGAACTTTCAAAAAGAGAGGTAAAACTTGGGGAGTGAGGGACAGACATTATATAATGTGTAATCTGACCTGTTTTGTCATCCCACTTCAGCCTTATCTTGAAGAAAGAAAAGCCTTTTTTCTCCAAGAAAGACATTGGAAAAGTCAAAACTGTTTTATCCAGTTTTTTTGCACTGATAATTCCCTGTATAGAGCAATTAGAGATTTCCCCATCATTACATATGTAACAATAAATATATTTATCCAACTTTGTTAGTTATGTGAACATTTCACACAGGTGGAATTTTTTCCATAATTTGAAGCCTATTTTAAGCTCCAAAACTTTTCACATTTTAAGAGTTTTGGAGGAATTTCTCTATCTTCTTTTTAACAAAGTAACAAATTTTTTTTTTATTTTTTATTTTTTTAAAGATGACCGGTAAGGGGATCTTAACCCTTGGCTTGGTGTTGTCAGCACCACGCTCAGGCAGCGAGCCAACCGGCCATCCCTATATGGGATCCGAACCCGGGGCCTTGGTGTTATCAGCTGTCCCGACCCGCGGGATATTCAACGCAGACCCTGGAGGGGGGAGTGGGAATTGGATGGGACAAGAGACACGAGAAATTGA